AATACAAAAAAAACATACAAGTTAGAGCAGGCAAGCTAAAAATCGATTAAAGGGTATCAAACTTACTTCACACAAACATTAAAAAACCCCTGTATTTTTAGGTGTTTTTTCACAGTGATAGTATCATCATAGGAAATCTTATCAACTGCTCCTGTCACTGGGTACAGTCCTCATTTGACAAATATATGGCAGCTCAACCAAGTCATGATAGATCAGAATCCCTGGAGTTAGGTAGAAGAAAATGAGTCATGCCCAAGTTGTGTAGGACCAGCTAGCCAGAATCTGGTAGGAGGTCCTCAGAAATGCAGAGCTGTCTTCAGAAAGCTTATAGCTGAAAGGGCAACACAAAAACCTGCTGAGGGAGGGATGACACAGGGACCAAACATTTCAGGGAGAGAGGAGTTTAAAGAAAGGCTCTGCTACAGACTACTGTAAGACAAGAACAAAATACCAGCTAAATAACCTGGCTAAATCACAAGGCTAAGACCAAATCTTCAGAAGAGGTGAAGCTGATGGTCAAGGAAAAAAGCTCACAGGACACCAGAAGGTGCAGAATGCACTAGCAGAAGCACAGAGGAGTTACAGTCAAAACACTGGAAGGCTGGAAGGCAAAAATACTCAACTATGGGCAAAGGAAGTTACAAGTGCTTGATATCTTATCTCTGTGTGGGAGTCCAATGCCACTCGGCTACTTAAAGGCCAAGATTCTTCCTGGTTAATTGTTTTTTAATATTTGCTTCAAAACCCTCTACAAATCCAGCCATCCACAGCTTTTTTAACTATATGTCATAGTTATGACAAGTCAACTGCTGACTGAGCTATCCAAACACAGATCTCTCCTGAATTTCTCCTATTCTTTACCAGTAAAAATAAAGAATATGATATGAAATTAAAAACTTAATTAAACTGAGAAACTAATTAGATTTCCAAGATAGATGATTGCATTGAGATGCTATCAAAAAGTAAATGATAGCTTGAAGTTGTCATCCTTCAGAGGAGACAGGACTTGAAATTTCTGTCCTCCCAACAGAAAAAAAAAACCCAAACCTGTAGTGTTGAGTTTTCATCAGTAGCAAAAGCTACTAGCCTTAAAAAGCAGTTTACTAAGGAAGCGGTAAAAGTCTCACAGCTCACAAACTTTAAGACCAGCACAAGCCAAACTAATCATGCAAAAGCATTTTGCTACGTGACCAAATTCATCATTCTCTTTGTATTAGTCCACCACACATGAAGTCTCACACACAACCACCAAATTCCAAATGCATTATTCAAGACCCAAAAGGTCACAGTTTCACAGTCACCTAAGTGATACAATGCTATGAGCAGCTCTGTTCAGACCATCACTTGGTGCCATCACAGGAAGCAGACCATCCTTGTTCACCCCTGCTGACTCTCACCCACACAGTCCTCCCTCTTCTTTGCACTGGTGCTACTGCTTAAAGCAAGTCAGGAAAGAGTCTGATGAGAAATTCATCATTTTTCCTGTTGCCTGTGTTTCTTTTCACATCTAAGCAAGTTAAAGCAACAGACAGTGGTCATCAGCACTAGGGGCAAGCCGGGTACAAAGCAGAAAGGGAGCACGAACTCCTTCCCTCCTCGTGGGTTTCGAGTAGTGGGATGAGCATGCCTACTCCTACTAGCTCTCTTGTGCTAACAATATTGCCAGCTGGGGTCAACTCCAGAGAAAAAAGCCACACTTCAACAGCCTCCCACAGGAGAACAGCTCAAGCCAATTGTAACATTGTAGCTAAAAACACGTTTTCCAGAAACCTTCACTTCTCAAATGCCAAAATCTGATTAATTTGAAGAGCTCAGAATGTTAAGATGATAGCTAATTCCAGAATAGAAACTCAATTAAAAGAAAAATCTTTTCAATTACTTTAAGGAAAAGGTTATGTTATGCTGTCCATTGTTTCTTCAGTAAATACAATGCAGCGCTGTAGTTCAAACTGATCTAGCTCAATATTATAAGACATAATTTGAGAGAAATTTATTCGCCAAATACAGGTCCAGGTTCTCTGTCTCACCTCAAAGGCGAGATCATGGATCTAATATAAACAAGAAAAGAATCCAGAATTATTCAAAAACATTGCAGAATTACAAAGCACCTTAAAAGTCAATGAATAAACAGCATGCAAAAACCCAGTGGCATCTTCAGGCCCAGAACAGAAAGTTCCTTAAAACTTTCTACCAAATTAACTCAGGAACAAGCTGAGCCAGCGTGAGTAGGGAAACAGCCTCATGGTGTTCCATCCAGTGAAGACACAGTTTTGTTGATCCAATTTTCATAACCACAACTAAATACCTTCACGCAGTGTCAGATGTTACATATTTAGCTGTCATTTAAAAATACTGTTAAAAAGGCTCATATACACAGGCAAAACAACAGTACTAACATATATAAATACCTGAGTAAATATGGCAAAAATAGCATCTTAGGCTCTTCCCTAGTCCTAAAATTCATCTTGCATCCCTTTTCTGTCAAGTGTTTAGATTATCTTTGCCAGCTTCTGCTCTAACCCACTAATAAACCTCTAATGGGAACCTGTTTAAAAATCTATGTAATTTGACTGTTATAGGTAAAAACTTTCCAGCCTATATTTAATCTAAATCTCACCCACTAAAATTTACTTCCTCTTAAACTACATCTGAACCACAGAAAAAAAAAAAAACAGAAAAAAGTTTAAAAAAAACAGTGCTTCTGTGAAGTATTTCTTACATACATACCCATCCCACAACCTTTTCCACCACACCAAAATAATGCAACTCTACAATGAAAAAAAATAATTACTCATGGGTTCAGAGCCTCTCAATCCACATTGCTACTTTCCTCTGTACTTTTTGGGTTGTTTAATACTCAAGACTAAACACAAAAGTGCAATCAAAAAGAAAAAACAAAAGCCTTAAACTGATTTCACATACCCAAGGATAACATCCACTTTTGCCATCCACATGTTGTTCATTTAGACCAATTTGTGACTAGGAGTCCTAAATCATTTCCTACATCTCTGCTTCCCAAACATCTCTATTTGAGCGTTCTACAGCCCCTTCCTAGTGTGGCATTTTATACATAGCAGCTTTTTAACTTCTGGGTTGTACTTCCCAAACCTGTTAAAATGACTGAATTAAACGTTTGTTCTATTCTTCTCCAAACAAGTGCTGGCATTCCCTCCTAACTCAATGGTGCATCTGCAAGTTTTCACTTTCAAGAAAATGACAGATAATATAACTAAAATCACCCCCAGAACAAGTCATCTGGTTTTCTCCCAACCTTCAAGAGATTTTCCAGTTTTGCAAAAAGTAATTTAAAACTATTTGGGGATTAGTTACTTGACAGGCAAACTTATACGATCAACTGAAATACCGTATCTATCAACCAGATGAACATGGAACTACGCTTAAACCTCCTAAAGTTTAAAACTGATTCTAAGATGGCTTTTAACCGTATTTATTTTCCAGACCAAACTGTTATGTAATACAATAAGCCCACTTACAACATAGATTTCTCAAATAATTGTATTTTTTCACCAGACAAGAGGGATTGTATTTCATCACTGCTGAGAGGGAGAGGGTATGGCTGATAGGCATCTCAGTATTTCAGTCCATAAAATATAAAAACAAATTACTTTTTTCCATACAGACTGACACATCAAAATTGATTAAGCACAAAATGTAGAAAGCGTCAGCACTATACATAGCAAGAACCATTTAATACCACCCACAACCAGATTAATGATGATTAAAAAAAAAAAAAAACAACCAACAAAAAAACAGAGAGAGCGAGCTGTTCCAATACAGCATTTTCACAGCACCCTTGGGAAGTACAACTGCTGCTTCACAGACTGCGGATGTTCCAACTTCCTTAGTTTATACAGCAAGCCAACAGATTGGACAATTCAGATTTCAGAAGTGTCATGTCCTCAAACAAGACCGCCAGATCACGTAGCCTTGCGTCTCCATCTCAGAGTTATTTTGTGAATATTGTTGAAGTTTCATTAGTTATAATTAAAATTCATGTTGTTAAGGTGTTAGGCTGGGCAAAAACCCATACATGTCCCATCCACCGAAGTTCAGTAATTTTAGCTCAGGGAGTCAATACCACTCCAAACAACATCAGAAGTTTTTCTCTGATAAGAAACCATGCTACTTTGATTCTGAAGGGGTATGGGTTTTTCTTTTTCTTCCACCTGCCACGCTTCTCCTTCCAATTATGGAGCTTTTTAAAAGGCACATTATGAGATATGACAAACTCTTTAATGTTTTATAGCACTTCCCTGCATGCAAATCCCATTTTCCTAAGTGAAGTGTCTGAAAAACTGTAAAGCTTCCTACCGCTCATTACAAGACAGATTCAGAATGCGTATAAGCAATTCAAAGCCATCAAAGCCTGTTGAAATTAGATTATTTTAAACGTTTTCAGCCCAACTGCTGGTTTTAACTGCAGGCATTTACCATTTGCCCTGAAGTGCTTTAGTATGAACATATTCACTTTTCTTAACAGAATTAAGTGAAGGTTGGAATGCTTTCCACTGTTTCCTGGAGAACCGAACGCCCCCGAGGGCAGGGATGGAACCTCCGCCCGTGCCGCGGGGGCTGCGCTCCGACACAGCGGGACCCGCGGGGTGCTGGGGCGGGTCCCCCGCGCCGGCCCCGGCCCCGCAGCCGCGCTCGGTGCTCGCACACGGAGCCCGCACGGGCGGCACCGCGGGAGCGGACACGGAAGCGAAGCCTCCGGCTCCCAACAATATCGCTATTCAACAGGACCTCGCACACATCCTGCGGCGGCTCCTTCCCGGGAAGGGCCGCGCCGGGCAGTACCGCAGTGCCGCCGCCGCCGCAGCCGGACCCCCCGCAGCCCGGCCCGGCGCCCTCTGCAGAGCCGCACCGCGGCTGCCCCGCGGCCAAGGGGGGCGGCTCGGAGGCGCCCGGGAGCGCCGCGGACCCGGCGGGAAAGACTCCCTCCCCTGGCCGGCAGCCCGGCGGGACCCGCGGGCCGTTACCTGTCGCCGGCTCCGCCGCACAGGGGGTGGCACCTCCCCGTCCTCCCCGCCGGCCGCCGCCGCCGCCGTCCGCAGCCTCCAGGTCGCAGCCCGCGCCCGCGGCGGCGCCGGGCAGGAGCGGCCCCGGCAGGAGCAGCGCCAGCAGCAGCAGCGCCGGCAGCAGCAGCCAGGTCGGCACCGGCCGCACGGCGGGCGCTCGGAGCGCGCTCATCTGTGCGGCGCTGCAGCGGGGCGAAGGCAGGAACAGGAGCACGGAGGGAAGGAAGGACGGCAGGAAGGGGCAGGAGCTCCGGCCGCGCCGCTGCCGCCCCGGCGGCTCCGAACCCGCTCCGCGCTGGCCCCGCCGCCTCCCGCCGCTTCCGGCGGCCCCCGCGCCGCCGGGCCACACGTCACCGCGCCGTGACGTCACCGCCAGGGGGTGGCGGGCAGAGCGCGGGTCAAGTTCCAGTGCCGGCTCCTGTCCCGATCCCGATCCCGGCTCCCGTCCAGTCCCGCTTTCGACCCCGATCCCCAGCTCCGGGCGGGCCGGAGCGTGGCAAGACGCGGCCGTGCCGTCGGGCGGCGGGAAAGTTGTGTCCGGCTGCGGGAGAAGCGGCCCCGGCCAGCCCGCCCCGGACCCCTCGGAGGGGCCGCTCCCCCGGGCGCTGAACCCCTCAGAGCAGACCGGGTACAGTCGGGAAAGGCACAGCGGGAAAACGGGGCGTTTTGGGCTACAGGGCAAAACGGAAACCTTGGACCCTGTTAGAATTGCCCTGGTTACGCCGCCGGTGAGGGCACCTGAGGGCAGCGTTCCGAACGGGAAGCACGAAAGGAGTTTCGGTTCGGTGTGTGCCGCACCGCGCTCAAAACAGCAACAGAGCGGAAAAAAAGAGGTGCTTCGGATCTGATCCGGCACGCTGAAATCAGGAAAACTAAGTCTTCACAGAGATTAAGCCACGATTTCATTGTGATTAAAATCTTGACTGAAAAAAAAAGGCTTTTGCTTAAAGTGTTTCTATCAAGCCACTGAATAGGAGTAAAATCTATTTCTCCTGTTGAAATCTGTGGGATCTTCCACCACTCTGTTTAGAGCCATTTGACGAGAATTACATAGCCTTTAAAGATCAAATTCAATCTAATATCTTAGGTACACAATACATGAGAATAATGCAGCACGGATGCCAAAAGCTATATAAACACCACATTTCCTATTAACTGTCTCAATTACCTAAGAAATAACAGAAGGGGGTTGAAAGGGTCTTGAGAAAAGCCTTTGGCTGTTTCATAGACCCTAAGGAGACAGGAGCATGAAATAGAGTGGTACAAGGTATTTCTGCAGGTCAGCAAAATCTGTGAAGCTAACTGTGAAATCACTATAATAGTATTAAATGCAGCAGGAAACAATTTTCCATAGTTGGCATGCATAATCCATCCCAGCTGAACCATATTTTTCTGGGGAAAAAAAATACCAAAACTTTAAAGTAGTCATATATCATATGAAGATTTGGAAACTGTGTCTAAACCTAATGAGTTGTGTTTGAATTGAGAAGTCCATGCATAGCCTTATCATTTCTGTTGGTTAATACAACAGCCTTTAAACACCAGCAGTATCTGACCAGATCTTGTGCAAAGAGAACAATGTAAAGCCTGTATCTTAAGAAAGCTTGTTCAATGTTGTTTGACTTTAGGGAGGGGATATGAAGCAGAGTAAATTTCCCTGATGGAAATGAAGAAACCAGCTGTTAATTTAATTAATAAGGTAATTTTAAAATACAAAGAGAGAGGTATGCATAAAGAGTACATGAAGAGGAAAGTTTCCTGGAGTGTGAACTATTTTAGCTGAGAACCAGTGCAGTCAAAGAATATGGACTACATGAGTCCTATGGAGAAAAGCCATGCATTAGGATAGCTGTGAGATGGGGCACATATGGAGAGCACTTCAATGAAAATGCCCTGGGCCTGAAATAGAAAATTATCCTTGTTAAAAATCCTCTTTCAATATCAGTTCATTTTCACCTCTTGCTTTCAACTACAGCCCAAACCAGGAAGCATTAAACAGATTGTTTTCAAGCAATGCCTGTGTTCTGGAGCTGGGGAGAGGTCACCCTAGCAGATCTCACAGGGAGAAGCACATTAACTGGAAACACCTCCTGATGCACTGCCACTTCATATTGTGCCAAATCAGCTGCGTGAGAATCAAGGAAGGGCTACAGCCTAACCCGTTAATCCACAGTAACCTAATCAACTTCTGGTTTCAGTATGAGGACACAAATTCTGCTAAGTGCCCTATAAGGCTTGATCACAGAATCAGAGAAAAATATATGACCTTTTGTGTTCATCTGATATAACCCCCTACTCAGGCCTGAGGAACACCACTCATAACCACATGCCAGTTTCATTCTGAACTGTTGACTGCTACTTTTTAAGTAGAGTGGTTCAGACTGCTTTCCACCCTCCTCATCCACTTACCCAGTCCCTACAGGACCACAAAGATGCTCTGAATACTGTGGCAAAAACCTTGCTATAATTAATGTGTGCCGCTCTTATCACCTCAACCACAGAGCCAGTCACCTCATGACAGAAGGCAATCGTGTTGGTGGAACTGTGCTGGGTTTTCTGTATTGACTTGTCCTTCATCATCCCAGAAATGGCTTACAGAAAGATTTGCTCCATTATCTCTTCTGGGAGAGATGCTAGGAAAGGATGACTGATCTGCAGTTTCCTGCACTTTGCTTTGATGATAGAGGTGACATTTGGTTTTTTTCCCAGTAACTGGAAATCCCATCTGATTGCCACAGCCTTTCAAAGGTGATAGGAAGCAGCCTAATGATATTACTCAGCTTCCTCAGCACCTTTACAAGCACCTCCTGTCCAGTCCTAAGGACTTGCAAACATCTAATTTGCTAGAGTATCCCCAGTTCAGCCTTCCTCTACAGTTAGTAGCAGTCTCCTACTTCAAACTTTGCCAAACAGAGCTCTGTGAGGCCTGAGGGCTGGCCTGGCTAGTAAGGAACAAGGGAAAGAGGACTTTGAGTATGTCAGCCTTTTCACAGTCTTTCATTCTAGGTCACCTGCCCATCAGCAGAGCCTGTGGTTCTTAGGGTTGCTTGCTTGCAGTGAGACTGGTTTGATGGTTTTCTCTGCCTCTGGGTGTACACAGCTGTGACAGAAATGCTGGTATTGGTGTGAATGGAGTATGAATGGTAATACCTGGGTGTGGGGGCACTGGATGGAGCACACAACAGGGAAAGGGTTCTCAGCATGGACTGTGCTACTGGGATCCAGATTAGCAGGTCATCACCCAGTACATCTCCAGGCAGTTTCACAGGACACCTATTTCTGGAGAAAAAGAGCAATGGAGAAACCCTGATGACTCACAGAGTTTGGACAGGATCAGTATCAGCTGCTAAAGGCTACCAAGAGGCATATTCAAAATCTGTGCATGGCTGCCAGCCTAAGGAGTACCCAGAAGACATGAGGAGATCTTCACAGCTAGTGTCACTTCCCTCCAATGTAATTACAATGGATGCTGGACCTAACAACATCTGGACACAGGCATGGCTGTGGCAGATGGGCAGCCTGGTCACCACTGCCGTGGTGCCCCATGGCTGTACAGGCTCATGGAAGGGCATGTCCTGGTCTGCTGTAAATACACCCACCTTCCCCACAGAAGGTCTGTCACTGGGCTGTGCTACACTGTTGATAGAGTGTTGCAACAGTATTTCCCACAAGTGGGTATATTTATCTTTTGCAGGAAGAAAACTGGTCTCAAGGCCTAAGAATTTGGCCATTTATGTTATTTTCTGTCATGAATCCTGCTCAGTATTAATGGACTCCTACATGGAGTCCTAATGGACTCTTGGTTGAATTTTCTGAGTGTACTTTACTGTATGGATAACTTGAGAGACTTTTTTTGAGTCCTGTCCTCCATCCCTCCATTGACCTTTGGAGCAGAAAGCTTTTTTTCTTTTCATTAGTGTGTATTTTACTGCTTTGAGTTGCCATTTCTGTCAGCAATTTTATCATTCACCTAGCCTTAATCACCACACTGATTTATCTGAACAGAAAAAGAGAAACAATTTTAAGAGTTGTTTAATGCCCATAGTGCTTTACAATATATACATTCTGCCATTCCTAATATAACTCTGAAGCAGGCTTGAATGGTTGAATAAAGGGAAAAAAATGCTGCTGTTTGGTGCTGTTTACAATCTCTCTAAAGCACAAGCTGTGAATGCTCTGGGTATATGTGAGGACTCATGAGCAAAAATATAAACCAGGCTGATAATAATAAGAGGAGAAAGAAACCTTGTTGGCAAAACAGAAACAAAGCACAAGCTGAAAAAATGGTGTAAGGTCACATTACAGAAAGGAAGATTTAGACAATGATACTTATTTATTAAAAAACAATGCAAGTACAAACTGACAAATTTCAAATTCAGATAAGCAGTAACCACCAGATTACTGGTAAACTGTTCAATAAACATTTAAATCTACAAATGATGTGAAAAGAAACATTAATTTTGAACAGGCTTGAGAGTAAAATTCAAATGTCTTTTCTTGATTAGAGAAGTTATTCATATCTGCACCCAAATTATGAAACTTTCTAGTTCTCAGATTTCAGGCTCTGATCCTCCACCTCTGATGAAGGTGAAATTTTATTGGCTTTGTATTTGTCAGGATGAGAGGATTTGTTTAGAAACCCCTTCTCATTTGTTTCTGGATTACTGAAATTTATTTTTTGAGGAAGGAAAGTCATTAGTTCAAGAGGAAACTTTACCAAGTATTTTAAGTAGTCCTGTATTCCCAGCTGTTAATGAACTAAAAAACTATGGGTCATAGATGCTATTGCAGTCCAGTAATGAAATTGGAAGAGAGAGAATGGAAGTGAATGAAACATCTTCATTATCTGATGAGAGTATTAGCCCTTATGATCTTCTTATCAATGGCCAAGAGGCTGGGTATCTCTCAAATGAGCAAATTGCCTGGTAATACGCTAAAATGCTGGGAAAAAATGACAAAATGTCTTTCAATCAGCAAGAAAGAGCAGTCATTAAGTCTGCAGATCTGCAAAGAACTTTTTGATTAAGTCTCCTAATTTTAGATTTTTTTTTTTCAATCAGCATTGTCACTAGTATTGCAGGTTTTTTTTTTTCTATAAGATTTATGGAATAAAGACAAATGTAAAAGAAGTCTTGGAGAATACAATGTTCAGCAAAATGTTCATTGCAGCTGAGTTTCCTATTTTCA